CACCTTAGTAAAAGTAGCCACTTCTGCCCCACCTCTCTCTCTTTACTCATCACCATCTGAAAACCCATTGTTTATTACCGGGTCCATCTTTGTTGCCGGATCCCCTGTCCCACCATGCGCGGCATGAGGGAGACCCGTGGTCACCTCCCTCACTGATGCAGCCCAGCGCCCAGGACAGGATATAGAGAAGCACTGAATCGTTGGCGAGTAAAAGAACCACAGCCCTGCATACACGTCTGTTTCTCATCTAGCTGCTCTCAGAGTCAACATCCAGCCTCAATACAACCATTTCTCTTTCTCAACCTCTCTGTCAACTAGCAGGCAAAATGGCGTGATCAGACCAAAATCAGAGATCCTTTCTCCTTCTATAAAATCCCTGACTTTATCCAGGTATAAATGCTACAGCTCCATTTGCATGCCATGGTATCCCAAGAATGGGATATGGCTATGAAGACGTTAGCAGAGCTTCCATCGGCTGAGACTCCGTTTCTGTATTTCAGATTAATTCAAAGAAGGAACATAAAGTTGATGTGGTGTTCACCACAGAGCGCTATAACCAAGAGGTAAGCTGTCATAATTCACAAAGTATCTTATAAGCAACTCATGCGACTTTACTTTTTAAAAAGTGAGAATATTAATATATAGTGACATGCAGGGGGTTTTTGTTTGTTTGTTTTTCCTGTCTTTATTTTCTATTGTTTTCAAGAACTGAAGAACAGAACTAGGCAGGAACTCAAGTTTTCACTCCTTCGGCATCATGGCCTTATGCAGGGTTGCATTTAAAACAGTCCTCACAGCTGTCACTGCCTCCTTCCTTTGCCCTGGGAGGGAATTTCACAGCTCTCTCTGGTATCCTTCCTTAGCACCTCAGAGTTCTTAGAATGACTCACTCTCAAATGCCAACCTGTTTCTCTTCCTGTCAGCTGGTGACATTTCTCGTTAGCAGGCTGGCATAGCATGAGGCCAATTCCAGGGGCTTCCATACAGAGGCATTCTATAAAACAGAGCAGGACCAATGCATGCCATAGGCATTATTGGTCTCTCTACAATTCTTACCAAGCAGGCCACGGGTTGCCAGTTTCCTTTTCCCTGTTCTCAAGGAGAGTAAACAGAACACTCATAGACATTAGAGCCAGATGGAATTCCATGTGCTGGGTGGAGTGGAGACCAGCCCAAGTTCTCTGTGTGGTGCTGAGTCAGCGTGGCCGGGATGAGCAGGCAGCATCCGGCATGAAGTGTGTCAGGGCGGGCGGCAGAGCTTAGGAGGGGAAGCCGTGACCTCCCCCAGCCTACTGCCTCCAAAAGAGTGCTTCCCAGCATTCAGAAACAAGTCCTACCGAGACAGCACTGTACTCTGACTTCGCTCATTAACCTAAGAAGTAAAATTTTTCTTAAAGCATAAGGAGGATGCCTTTGATTTCTAGTGTTGCAAACTGGAAGTGTTAGATGAAAGCTAAAGGGAAAACAAGTACTAGAGTATTCTGACCAGTAACATGTTTCTCTGAAGAGCACAGCTAGCTAATTGCGACATTCCATTCCAGGGCAGCAGGAGAGTTCTTTCATCTTCAGACAACAGCTTTGATTCCGTGGAGCTGTTTTGGTGGGGGAGAAGGAAAGGAAAACAAAAGGGAGCCACACCTGGTTCTTTGCCAGGGGACATGGCTGACATTAAAGGAGAATGTGGGCCAGCCCCGTCTTCTGCCTCTGAGAAGGCCTCTTTCTGATGTTCCCTGCACCTCTGTTTCTATGTTGCACTAGGATTTTAGTGCATCCTGGAATTTCCCCTTATTCAAAAGCAGCACTCACAGGAGGACAAGTTACCTATTGCAAAGGCCTGTTTCAGTTTTTCAAGTTATTTCTAGAAATGGGCGTATTATGCAGGTCTAATTTTGATTAGTTTGTTTTCTTGTGGGCTTTTTCCTCTTTTTTTTTTGGTTGTTGTTTTAATCGGGACTCCACCCAGTTTAAGAGACTGATACGTGTATTTTCCTGGGAATAGCATCGCTGGCTTTTATTGTCAGGATAAGGACTATGTGACCTTCGGGAGAAGTACTGTCCTAGAAATGGGTCACACATTTGATGCCTGCTTGAAGCATCTACTACCAGCTCCCGATGTCTCTGGATTGGAAAATGAGCAGAGGTGACCCCAGAATGCTCCGTCCATGCACATTTAGATGTTAATGCGAACAAACATCCCTCAGTCACTCAGGTAGTTGAAGTAGTGCCATTTGGGTGAGCTCTGGCTGCACTTCATCCGGACTGGGTCTCAGCGTACTGAGATGGAGTTAGTACAGGGCCAGGGCTTTGGCCTCAGACAAACATGAGCTCAAGTCCTGGCTTACCACTTCCTAGTGTGAGACAGGGAGTAGGCTCCTCATTAAACTTCAGTGTCTTAATCTGCAGAATTGGAATGAGGAGACCAAACTCATAAGGCAGCGGCAGATATTGTCATTTTTGTTAATAGGAACCAGAGTCACTTTTTGGTTCAAGTTAGCAAGCTTGAGGTCCTACTAAGCATTATGTTGGTCCACAGTAGAGTCAAGTACCCATAATCCTAGAGGTTTGAGCCAAGCAGTACTGAAGAGACATCAACAGTGCTTTGGAATAGGCCTAGCATTATTTTATAAGGACACCATCAGAAAGCAATTTAAATGACAGCAAAAAGTGAAGGACTGCTGTGTTGGGCTGTGAGCACGGAGATCACTTTTTACGAAGCAAAGACCACTACATCTGTTGATGCCAGTGCATATGTGCTATGTGCAAGGAACTGCTCAATCGTGTGTGTGTGTGTGTGTGTGTGTGTGTGTGTGTGTGTGTGTGTGTGTACTGGGGAGGGTGGGGAGTGATAAGGAACCAATCCATTTAATTCCAAAATCTTTATTTCAGGAAGGTGAGGAACGTTTTGGGAAATGTTCTGCTCGAGTGTTTTTCAGGAATGAGAAACCCAGACCAGCCATCAATGTCACTTGCATACGGTTTGTTGAGAAGAGCAAAAGACAACAAGAGGATTACCTGCTTTACAAGCAAATGAAGCAACTTAAAACCCCCTTGGATGTAGTCAGCATACCTGGTAGGAACCAGTATCTGGAATTTCTATACTCAGGAACATATATAATTACTACATCTTAAAAAGAATGATCATTTAAATTCGTATCCCCTAAATGGCACTTTAATCCTACTATAGAATGTGGCACACCTCATTTTTTTTTCTTTTTTTGCGTTCCTGGGTTTTTATCATAGTCCCTGAAATGAATAAATACCATTCTATTATTCCCAAAGCCACAGAAGAACAAGAGAAGAACGAGGAAAACATCAGGTTCTGAGTACAGGCAGAATGAGGTTGAGCCAGCAAGGACTGAGAAAGAGCAATGCGATTGCTATTGCAAAAGCTGAGAAATAAAAANCTCACCACCAACCTCCGTCACCTGCACTCAGGGGCCCCAAGTGGACCTGAAGGGCAGACTTCTAGGTCTTGCATGCAGTAGGCGGGAGGGCCCTGGGGCTCGTGTGGCCAGCAATTCAAGGCTTAGAACCTGCTGGCAAATGGAAGTGCTGCCTTCTGGGAGCCACTGTGGCTGAGGCATCACAGGCAGCAAGCCCACAGTACTGTGTATTCCTCTAATGTGGGCATGGGTGGTGAAGACACCAAACTTCAGGAGACAGACACAGGTGCCGAGGGGAGCCATGCCCAGCCCGTCATACAGGTCACACTTTATATCCCTTTAACTGCTCACTGGGAGCTTCAGGGGTAAACCAAACTGGGCTAGGGTTAGGGTCAGGGTCAGGGTCAAGGTCAGGGTCAAGGTGAGGGCTAAGGTCAGGGTCAGGGTGAGGGCTAGGGTGAAGGTAAGGGCTAGGGTCAGGGTGAAGTCTAGGGTTAGGGTTAGGGTAGGGTGAGGGTGAGGGTGAGGGTGAGGGTGAGGGTGAGGGTCAGGGCACCTTTGTTGTCTACTTGTTGGTACACGCAGTCCCAGGGAAAAGCCCTGAGATTGAAAAAAATCTATTTCTATAAGATGAAAAAATGGAGAAAGAGGCAGGCCAAACTCTGGCAATTAACAAAGTTTATTAAGGGACATTTACATACAAGGCAAGCCTTAGGCAATGGCAAGACAAAATGGGTATTTTCTA